CCCAGATACTCAATGATCCTTTTAACTGTACTTTCATTATGGCCCTACCATACTCCTTTCAATGTCTGCCCCTGGCCCACCCCAGGCTACTTGCCACTCCTTAATCCCATCCAGATCTTCCCACAGTCTTTTTCAGTATAAAAGTACCAATCTTTCCCCCATTAAATCGGGCAGATTCATTTCACAGGCTTGTATTGGTGTCACAAATACCTCAGATTTACTAGAAATCTTGCCCACCTAACCCTGGTGTCATAATAAAACCTCACTACTCTGACTGAAAGAAGGCTTGAGCGGTTGAATTCTTTCAATATAGACCTGCCTCGTACCCTTGCAGTTCGGTGGTCCCAGCACCCCAAACTGAAACAACAACATGTACTCAGCCATAGAATGGTTTAATCTACATAGATGGAGAGGGTACACATAGCCAAGTATTTAATTTTTCCCGTATTTATATCTTATCTCCCCAACAACTCCCTAAGAACAAAGAATGTGCCCAAAAGTTCTATCTCTTACATCATCTATATGATGAATATACATAATAGGGGCTAACTAATTTAAAATTTGACTGAGTTTTCTGTTTCCTTCCCCTCCATATGACCTCTCTGTGTAACATGAAGTACTCTATAATCTCATTAACATGTTGGAAGTGGGCTTGTTTGTTAACTGACTACTCTAAAATACTAAAGGGCACTATGAGAACTTCTTAAGTTAATATGAGAGTATAATGAGCTTCATATGAGGGCAATCTGAACACAGTTCACCTTCTATTATCTAGATTAAAACTCCTGAACAAAAACATGTCTGAATTTCTCCCTAGTTTTGCTGGAAAAAGTTATCACTTGAATTTCTCTAATAAGATACAACACTGGGGAATATAATTATACAAACTCACTCACAAGGAGGTAATGCTCCTTCACCAATAAACCTCCTTATCAAAGATGACTGGATGCAAGCAGTATAAACCCTCCAGATGAAATTAGTCTAACTGGGAAGGCTAGCTGGAAATATTCAGAACTTACAGAGCCTGGGAAGGCTACCAGGACTTGGAGTCAGAAGAATGGGGTTGAAATCCCAGCTCCACTACCTACTGGGGGAGAGAGGGTTATCTCTTCAGCAAATCAACTTTTTAGCCTTCTTTTCCTGTTCTGTAAAACACCAAAATGGATCTGTAACCTCACAGATTTGGAGGTTCCCTCCAATGATGCAACTCACTACTCAATCATGCAGCTCTTGCTCTGGTCTCCCCAAAAGTCACATAAGGGGTCATACTTTGAGGAGGACATGCTGTAGGCTTCCTCACCTCCTGAAACCTCAAGGGTAACTAGCAGTAGAGCACTGTAGTTATCTACCTTTCATCCTTCTATCTTCCAACATTTAAGACAGGGATAATAAATAATAACTTGTACTCACTATCATAGGAAGGTTTAGAGTAAGGCTCAAATGAAAGAAGAAAAACGTCTGCAACATGTTTTATAATGAAAGGCCATAATGAAAGTACAGTTAAAAGGATTATCGAATATATAAACCAGCTCAGAAAGACTAGAAATTTCAGAGCAGGTGCCATTCTGGGGTAGTAGAAAGATCTCTCACAAGGTGTGCAGCAGGTAGGTGGCACAGTGGATTAAGTGTCAAATGTGGTGTCAGGAAGACCTGAGTTCAAATCCAGCCTTAGACACTCAAGACAGGATTAGCTGTGTGACCCTGGACAAGTCACTTAACTGTTGTCTGTTTCCCCATCTGTAAAATGGGGATGATAATAATAGCACCTACCTCCTAAGGCATTGTGAGGATCAAGCGAGACGATAATAATTATAAAGCGCTTAGCATATATTAGGCACTATATAAATGTTATTATTTAACATATAGTAGGCACTATATAAATGTTATTATTAGGTGTCCTCTATTTCAAAGGAAGGAGGAGGGAGTAGGGCAGAGAGAAGAAAGAAAAAATAAGTTACTATCAGGGACTGTCTTGGCTTTAGACACCTCAGCCTAGGCACAGTGCTTCTGATGCTGCTGCCAAAAACCTTTCTGATGAAATTTCACTCTATAAGTAAGGTCTCTAGATGCAATTTCCGTGAAAAAACATAAAATATTTAAAAACTAATGTTTAGTAAACCACACAAGGCTCTTTGACTTCACCGTGTAAAGATGATTTGGAAAGCAATAATATATCATATCTTTGCTTCTGGAAGGTGTCTACAGAACTCCCCAGGAAATCGTCTTCAAAAAAAATATTAATGTAAAAATAGACCAAGGTTTTTCCCAACCCTAAAGAAAATGAGGTGACAATTAGAATCTTATTTATACCCTGGGCTGCTAATGAATCTACTCCCTCCCAACTAGGGTCTTCCAAGGGAATCTCCTGTGCTATAACTCCCTCAGGTAAGTCTTTCCAAACCCTAGAATTGGGTTAGGGAAAATGCTTCCTATGCAAATGAGGTCAAACTAAATAAAAGGGTGGCAAGAAAATCCATGCAGCCTGAGCAACTGAACTTCAACATGAAATAACATCCTTTTGGCAATTTTTTTGCCTCTTAATAGCTTCTCCCAAGTTGGAATCTAGATCCCGGTTGTACTTTGTTATTTATGATACCAGACAAGCCAAACAAACAGAGCTCTGGCCTTTCCTGCTTCACACTGATTTCTAAGGACAGAACGGACCTTAAAGGCAGAGAGTAGAGCCTCTGCTCTGAGACTCCAGGCAGAAAAAGAAATCACACTTTTCTAAGACACCTCCAGATCTAGAGATTCCTCAGTATCTGGTAGCTAGTCTCACTTCCCTTTCATCTGCCCTGAAAAAACAATATCAGTCCCCCAATTTTAAACAACACAAGACTTCCTGACCTCACCGTATAGAGATGAACAAGAGGGCATGAGAAACCTGTCAGAAACTAAGAATGAAGTGTCAGTGGTAGAGGAAAGACCAACAAACATTTGGCTTCTTTAGCAGTGAGCCAACACCTCCCTCTCCATTAGAGAGAATGGGGCAGTGAAACCACGAAAGGGAGCAACGGTAAGGTAAGGGGCCTCCCAAACAGAAGTTCAAAGAAGCTTGCTTCTCTCCTCCTTTCTCATTCCAGCCCCCCACGCCCTATTCTTAATGGGTTTTATTTAATTAATTTTACCTGGTACTAGCACACTTCTTGGGGGATGGAAAAGGGAACTAGAAAATGCCAAATAGCTTTTGCAGGCCCATCAGGGGTTTTGTTTTTGTTTTGCAAGGCTTAGCCTAAGGAAGCTCCTCCACTGGAATTCTACTCAGGCGGCTGAGTTTTAAGATAGTGAAAGCTTTCTGAGATCAGGCCGGTTGGGAAAGAGTAATATGATCTGGCTCCATTCCCTAAGGGGCTTCCCCAAAACGTGGGTGAAACACAGTAAAAAGGACCTGGCACCTCCCAATCTGAGTTCAGGGAGGCCAAATCTCAACCAGGAATAATGTTAAGAATTGGAATTCCCCAGATCATTTTCGCCAACAATTTAAACCTTTAAACAAACCTGTTAGCAGAGCGGCTATCCATCAATTACTGGGACCAAGTGACTTGGCTTTCTGTCTCCCCAGGTGCTTAGCACTGTGCCTAGCACTGCTGCTTGTTGACTGACTGAAGCTGGTAATGTACCTACCATTAGTTAGAAGCCCAAGTCTGAATCCTAATTATCACAGCTCTGTGACTTGAGCCAAATTTTTTCAATTTTCTCATCTGCAAAAATGAAGGGATCTGTATGGCTATGGAATCTTGCAAGTACTCTCAGATACAGTTGATGTGTTAGTTTTGCAGAACTTTTCTCCTCAAAAATAATTTTTTAAAAAAGACTTTGCTTGCTGGTATGGGAGGAGGAAAGAGATATTTGGAAATCAAGGTGATATAAAAACAAGACGTCAATAAAAATTAAATTTTTAAATGAGGCATTCACACTGTATAATCCTTCGACTTCTCCAGCTCTAACAATTTATCTTGAATATAATAACATGGTCTAATAGTGGAAGGCAAGAGAAAAAAAGAAAAGGGACAGTACAACCCTATTCCCACCCCCTCCCACACTCCCAATGGGGATAACTTGGCCTCTGAATAACACAATGTTGACAATGCCAACCACCTTCTGGTGAAAGTGAGAAGGGTTAAGATGGCAAAGCCATACAAAAGGACATTTCTGTCAGATTAAAATGAGTTTTCTTATCCTTAAGAAAAGGGTGTGGGGACCACCTCATATCTAAGATTCCCTTCTAGCTCTAAAAGCCCATGATCCTGGGATGTAATACCAAAACAGCCTTCATTCCAAAAACAGTTTCCACTAATTAGAGGGAGCAGCAGCAGAAGCTGCTGTAGGTCAAGGAGAATCAAGGTGTACTGGTTAGGGATTCCAACAGCCAGGGACAGCCATGATTATTTGTGTCAGGTTTTCCTAAGCAAATTGAGGATCTCCCATAATCCCAAGGGGCTGGGTGTGAGGTGTGTTATATGTGAGAGAGAAGCACTATTAAGAAATCCTTTCGACTCTTCTAAGTCAAATTAGTTGCAACCCCTGCCTTAAGAAACCTTGCTTTCAGCTGTGCCTCTAGGAAAATACTCATCTCCACTGCAGAATTAATGAAAATAGATCAGAATCCATCTGCAGTAAGCTACCACTTACATTTCTGTAAGGACAGAGAGGGGAAGGGCATAGGCAAGAATGCCTTATCAAACTACATGGTTATCACATAAAGGAGATTCAAGCAATGCAAAGGGAGATAAAGAGATCACCAAAAATAACATTTGAATTTCACCCACCCTAACACTCTTCAATAAACCAGTATATATAATACCTATCTCCCAAAGTAAATTGGTGCTGGCTTCAGCATTAATCCACCCAACCCCTTCCAAAAAGGGCACGTGTTATCTGAGAAACATTATTTCCTGTCCCACCTCCTCCAGATTTCTTTTAACCAGTTCAAGGAAAAAAAAAAACCACACACATACACATATAACAAAGTAGAAGATTGATGACTGATCTTTCTTTACCTTGAGTTTTGGCCCCAGGTCCTTCTAATCCCAGGGATGGATCACACAACTCCTTTACAGGTGATTGGATGGGTGTTTCTGCTTCAGGAGTCTCAAAATTACCTTCAGAATCCGAGCTGCCGAGGGGGGAAAAATGAGGAATTACCACTTTCAATGCTATTTTGGACATCCTTCCACAGCCTTTAAATATCCAGAGTCCAGCATTTTGTGTGACTGTCAAATCTACTGGTGGTCCTCCTCCTCCTCCGATAGATAAGCCAGTGGCCATCACAGATTCACAGCAGATATATGCAGCCAGTTTTTCAGGATGGTTGGAGTCCTTTCACAACTGGCCTCCTTGGGAATCTATCGATACCTCTTCACTGAACACTAATCCACCAGAGCTCTATCCCATACATCACTTAGGTCTATATTTCTCTTTTCCTACATCTTTCCCCAAATCAAGGCTATTCTAAAAACACCACAGAGACCTGAAACCTTGCAGTTTCCCGAGGCTGGGCCAGGTTAGGCTAGAGAGCCTGGGTCTCTCCCCTAGAGGGCATGATCATTCATCCTGAACAACACACCAACCATAGTTCTGATCACAACCAGGGTCCCTGTTCCGGAACAAACCCCTACCTGCTTCAGGCTCACCGAGTTCAAAGATGAGAAGTCAATCACCTGTCTTGCCTATCCTGCTGGGCCGGGGGCAGTTCAGCAGGAGACCATTTCACGGCCACTTGCTGAAGCCACCGGGCCAGTCTTGGCCAAACCTGCCTCTATCCTCCTCATTACCACTGCTGCATTTTTTTTTTGACCCTACTACCCTGGGCCCCAAATCCATTGGGGTGGGGGCAGGGTGATCCCTCCCCAAGGAGGACTCCCAAGTTCCTGAAACGTGAATCAACCACACTGAAAGTCTTTGGGCTCATTAGCGTCTCTGAAGCTTGCAGAAATGAGACATTAACCAGATCAAGAAGGGGGCTGGGGGGGCGGGCGGGGGGAGAGGAAAGAATCCAGAAGTGCTGCAGATTTGGTGGGTGTTCAAGAAGCTGGGGGGGGGGTCGAGTGAAAAGAAACACCCTTGCAAAACACCACCTACAGAAACGAGAGAGAACAGTGAACCCAGGGGCATTCTGGAGGCTTGGGGGGAGGGGAGAAGAGGGGAAGAAAAAAAACCAAAACGAACACAGAATGTACCGCACATGAATGCAGGAGACACGAGTTCGAATCCCGTGGCTCTGGCCAAACTAGGGATGCTGCATACTTGCCTGAAACTCAAAGACTTGGTCTCGGCTTGAGAATCATCTTCCTCGGCCTCTCCCTCTGGCCCCCGGTCCTCGCCATCAGCAGCACCTCCGCCGTGCACGGCAGACCAGGTCCACTTGGCCCACTGGACCGGGGACAGGATCTGCCACGGGCTGAAGGCCATGAGCGCGACTATCCCCGCCCCGGCCCCCCAAGAGGGCAAAGGTGGGGTGAGGGGGGGGATACAATCTTTTTTTTTTTTAATCCCCTGTTTCTTCCAAAATGGAGGGAAACGGTGACAGCCGCCTGTGGCTGCTTCTGGCCGGGCAGCGCGGATGTGGTTAGACGTAGACCGTCGGCTCGCCGCCCTCTTCTCTCCCGGAGCTTCCTCCCCTGCCCCCGAGACGCCGCTGCCCCAGCCCCGGGCTCCGCTTCTCCTCCCCGCGATCCAATCAGCGCGGAGCTCGGGCCACAGAACCGCGGCTCCCGCTTCTCAAGGATGCCAGCCCGGGCTGCGGGAGGAAGCCGCCCCCTCACTCATCCTCATCCCTCCCTCCCCCCGCCCTCCAGCCCCGGCTTCTCTCCGGCTCGCCCCAGCCCGAACTGCGGGAGGAATCAGCTGGCTGCCAGATAGGAGACCCGCTCCGGGCTGGGCGGGGCTGCGCCGCGCTCCCTCTCCGGGAGCCGCCCCTTCGGCATGTACCACTCGCCCCTCGGGGGGGTCCCATACGGAAGCTTTGATGCTCATGGCAAAGGCGGCACGTTCCCCCCCTCCCTAACGCCAGGTGGACTGTTCCGACACTGGCTATATTCATTTGTGGGAAGAAGTTTGATGGGGGTTTGGGGGGAGAGATCAAGACTCTATCTTCCCCCCCCCCTTTTTCCTGCTCCATAGCAACAGGAAACCTATTTTCTGAGTCTGCTTTTCCTTATTTTCCTCGCCCCACCTTCTCACCACTCAGTGGAGTTAGTGGACTCGAGGGCTGTCACCAGGAATTAGCAAACTACCCTCACCACTCAGTCAACATTTATTAAGAGCCTACTATGTTCCAGGCAGGCAGCTGGGTAAGTGCAGTGCTCCTGAATTCAAATCCTGCCTCAGACATTACTAGCCGTGTGACTCTGGGCAAGTCACTTAACCCAGTTTGCCTCAGTTTCCTTATCTGTAAAAATGAGTTGGGAGAAGGAAATGGCAAACCAGGTCACACAGTCGGGCAACAAAAGATGCAAAAGACAGTCCCTGCCCTCAAAGAACTTACAATCTAAAGAGGGAGACAACAAGCAAACAAATATATACAAAGCAAGCTATATTATATACAGGATAAATAAGAAATAATGAACAGAGAGAAGACACTAGGATTAAGAGGGCTTAGAGAAGACTTCCTTTAGAAGGTGGGAACTTATGGTCCAATCATTCTGGAGAGCAATTTGGCACTATGCCCAAAGGACTATAATACTGTTTAGTCCAGCAATATCACTACTAGGTCTGTACCCCAAAGATATCATAGAAAATGGAAAAGGACCTATATGTACAAAAATATTTATAGCAATTATTTTTGTGGTGGCAAAAAATTGGAAACTGAGGAGATACTCATTAATTGGGGAATGGCTAAACAAGTTGATATATGATTGTGATGGAATACTACTGTGCTATAAGAAATGCCAAGGTAGGATGGTTTCAGGAAAACCTAATTCAAACTGATTCAAAGTGAACTGAGCAGAACCAGGAGAATATTGCACACTAACAGCTATATTGCAACAATGATCACCCTGAAAAACTTAGCTACTCTGATCATGACAATGATCCAAGATGATTCCAAAGGACCCATGAAGAAAAATGCTATCAGGGGCAGCTAGGTGGCGCAGTGGATAGAGCACCGGCCCTGAAGTCAGGATGACCTGAGTTCAAATCCCACCTCAGACCAAACACTTGTCACTTACTAGTTGTGTGACCCTGGGCAAGTCAATTAACCCCAATTGCCTAAAAAAAAAAAACAGAAAAATACTATCCACTTCCAGAGAGAGCTCTGATGAACTCTAGGTGCAGATTGAAACACACTTATTTCACTTTATGTTTTTTGCTTTTTAGTTTTTTTTTCCAACTTGACTAATATGGAAATATATTTTGCATGATTTTGATGGGGTGCTTGGGTGCCTGTACTCAAATCCCACTTCTAAGACCATATTTCTTCCTTGCCTCAGAACACTATGCCTGATAATTTTCTCCCCAGCTCAAAGACCCTATCTCCGGCAATAACTCAGGAGCGGGCCCAGTGAGGCAAACTATCTCCCCTTGTTACAAGAACAAGCTGACCTCTGTAGAATTTCCCTCATACTATCTTGTATCAACAAAATTATCGTGTACTGATTCCCACAGTTATCGTATACAATTCAGAGGTCACGTTATAGGCATCAACTCCTGAAGCTATCATGCCACAGACATAACAGACCAAAAATACACCCTTTAAGAACCCTCTTTCCCCCCACCCCATTTTCAGTAGTGAATGACGCCTGTGACCAAGGTTGTATGTTATCACCTAGTTAGTATACTTTCTACCTAATCCATTGCCTTTCCTATATAAGCTTTAGCCTCATTCCTGTTAGGTTGTAAGTTCCCTAAGGAGCTCTGTCTGCCATATTAGCACTACAATAAACCTTTGCCAACTTGACTTAAAGAATGCTTGAGTCCGTGAATTCATTCCAGGGGATGCTGTCCTATACTTTGGTCCTTGGGGCATCCCTGAACCCCTCAAACTACATCAATTTCACATGTATAATTGATATATTGCTTGCTTTATCAACGAGTGGACAAGTGGCAAGATGGAGGGAGGGAATTTGGAACTAAAAAGAAAAAAAAAAGAAAATGAAATTTTAGTTAGGACTTCCAGGAAGCTAGGGAGGTTAGCAGTCAGAGAGAGTATTCCAGGTATGGGGGACAACCAGAGAAAGTGCCTGGAGCTGAGAGATGGAGTGTCTTGTTCATGGGACAGTCAGGAGGTCAGTGTCATTAGATCAAAGAGTACATGGCAAAAAGTAAGGTGTAAGAAGACTGGAGAGATAGCAGGGGGCCAGTTTATGAAGGGCTTTGAATCACTATCAGTTTACTGTAGTAATAATAGCTAGCATTTATAGATATAAAGATATGAGAGAAATTATTCTTTCTCTCTCTTGTATTTAATAACTAATTCTTGAATTAGGACCAAGGTTTTTCCCCTTTTCTACTTCCTCATCTAGAAATCAACCAGTGTGGGAAATCTCCGGCAAAGACTTACCCAGATAGGAAAGCTAAGATCTAATTAAAGACGGTAAAGAAATTCTAAGTTTAGGCAAATAGGCGGACTCAGGTCTGAGAAAATGTGGATTCTCCCTTTTGTCAGAGGGTGACATGGAAATTGATAAATCTCTTTGACAGAGATTTGGATGCTCAGTACCCCAAGACCCTCACTGGAATATGCCTACCTCTAATTATAATATTTATTCTCTCATTAATTGTTAACCAATCAGTGTTTATTGCCACCCTCAGGAATACTCACTCTTCCAAAGGCATATAAACTGTGAGCACACTGCCATGATTTGTCTTTGGTCCAAGAGAGACAAATGACCATTCCTTCTATTAGTAATAAGGTAGCATTATTAATAAAATGATTAATTACCCAGAAACTATTTCTCTTGAACTTTTTAAACATTGCAGATATATACATGTTGTTGTTGTTGCATGTGTGTACATACACAGGGTGTCCCAGAAGTCTTAGTGCAGTTTAAAGCTTTAGCAATTTAAATAGTCTTAAACTTTAAGAAACTTCAAACTGCACTAAGACTTTTGGGATACCTTGTGTAATCTCATTTGACCCCCACAACAACCCTGAAAGTAGGTATTATTTATTGTTCCCCATTTTACAGATGAAAAAACTGAGGGTGGGAGAGGCTAAGTGACCTTGCCCAGCTAGGAGTATCTGAGGCAAAATCCCAACTCTGGTCTTCCTGACTCTGAAGTCCAGAGCTCAGTGGACTACTCTACCTTAGACTGCTTTTGTTTTGCCCCAAGAAAGCGAACCACGAGCTGTGATTGGAAGTTTAAGAGGGCAAATTTAGGCTCTATGTAAGTATAAGGGTAGAGGCAAGGAAAAAAAACCCAAACAATACTAGCCATAAGTAGAATGAAGAGTAGGTGGTATAGTACCTGACTTGGGGTCAGGAAGACCCTGAGTTCAAATCTGGCCTCAGACACTTACTAGCTATGTGACCCTGGGCAAGTCACTTAACCTCTATCTGCCTCAGTTTCCTCATCTGTAAAATGAGCTGGAGAAGGAAATGGCAAACTACTCCAGTATATTTGCCAAGAAAACCCCAAATGGAGTCAGAAAGAGTCAGATACCACTGAAAATGACTGAACAACATAAGTGAAATGGGCTGCCTTGAGAGACAGAGTTCTCCATCCCTGAAAGTCTCCAAGCAAAGGCTACATGACCACTGGAGTATGGTAAGAGCATGTTCTGGGCAAGAGATATCCGGTAACTTCACTTGTTTCCAGTCCCACACGTTCTCAAAATTAATAATAATAATGATTCCCCACAATCACGTGACCCAACAGTAAAAAGGCCAATTCCCCATAATGCATCTCCCATTAAGTAGAAAATCTAAATGGATAAATTCCTTCCTTCATTCCAGCAACTTCTTGCTTCACAAAATAACATAATATTCTAATACTTTTAATACTAATTCTAATAATATTCTGGTAATGCATGGAAAGGTTTTCACTTTCCATTTCAACCCTGTCAGCTAGAGACCTCAGATTTTCTAATCAGTTCCCCTAGGCCAGACCCCCAAAGCTAGAATGGCTCCAGGGGATCAAGGATGGTAATGGGGAGAAGCCCTAAGTTAGGATAGTAGGGCAGGAATCAGAGTCCTGAGGATATCCAACTCTTAAGGGAGGAAGCTCACAGTGTAAATTGAGCCAGGCAAGCTTACTGAAACAGGCAGGCAGTGCCCACCCTCCCCTAGTCAGGGGAGCAGCCTAATCCCCCAAACGTACTGGATGACCTTACCCTTCCCTACTACTCTTAGGATTCAGAAAACCATCATCAGCATTCTCCCAGTCTTTAAGACCAGCATGTTGAACAAGATGATACAAGGGACCCTTCTAGTTCTGAAAGCCAAATACCCTATAAATGGTGATCTGATGGAATTTGACACCTCCCCCCTCCCCCCATTAAAACAAACAAACAACGAAAACAAAACAGCGTTTGGAGAGGGTCTGAAGTCTTAAGTCAAAGGTGTTCAATTACACAGTAGAATCAATATGGTATTCTAGGGCCTCATCAGCTTTACACTTCTCTCATTAAAAAAAAATTAATAAGGCTGCTGCCTCATTCCATCACTTTCCTTCTGGCTCGTTTAGTTAGCTGCTTCAGGCCTGAGTGAAAGCAGTGTTAAAAATAAAACCCTCTCCATTCCAGGAGGCAGAGGAGGAACAGCTGAGCCCTCCGTTTTCTTCTTGTTTCAATGTGGAAGATTTCCCCCCCTTTTCACCAACTCACTCCTTTCCTCCCAACGAGTTAAAGAAAGGGAATACAGGAAATTACAATGGACCCATGAGGCACGAGCTCAAATGCC